CTGAAGAAGGAGAAGCCGGCCATTTTGGATCTGTACATACCCCCTCCACCAGCTGTTCCATATTCTCCTCGGTATGCAAATAAACATGCACTACTGAACAAAAAACTCCTTCATTACACTTGTTTCTGAGCTGGCTTGCTGTTACAGCTCTGTGCAGATTAGTTTGATGAAACTGTAAATCTCAGACTTCCTTCCCGTTGCCTGAATGAATTGGATTGCTTAAACTTATGCTTAAATTCATACAGTACTAGGATTGTAATAGGTTTTATTACTAGAAGATTATTGTGTGCCACACAGATCAGACTTGTTCCCAAAACAAGAACGAGTGTCACCTCAGGTTCTGTTTACATCCAACACAGCAAGAAGTAAATTTTGTCTGTAACTTTTTTCACTGTTGAATTTTTTTTCTAGCAGGTTAAGTAACTTGTGGGAGTTAGTATAGAAAAGAATGTCATGTTAAGACACCTGTAACATGAAATTGTTAAACTTGCAAGTTGTTTAAAACAAGAATGTTCCCACTGAAGGGAATGGGGAGTCAATAGACCAACTTTTATTTGTTTATGCTGTAGTGTAAGCTATAAAAGTGCAGACCTGTGTACCCAGCAGGCGGGGGGTGGTGCATATGGTGAGGCTAACTGTTGTTTGTTCTCAAGTCCATGTTGACTCATGCCAGAACCCTGCTAGCTGATCTGGGAAGGTGATGGGGAAAAAAAAAAAAGTTTTTAGGCAAGACATGAAAGGCAGGCCTGCTTTCTGGCCTGCCCCAACACTTTAGGTTATGTGTAGATAGCCCAACACAGAACTCTGACATTTTGCTGCAGGACTTGTGGGAGGACACTTGCCTCCTGCCACATAAGGGCTGTGACAGAGACAGAGGTTGTATTACTGCAGTCTTTGCGGCAGGACTGGGAGGAGGGTTTCTCCAAGGTAGGGTCTCTACTGAAGTTGAATGCGCCTTGACGTGCTCTCTCCCTGGCTGTACGGTTCTGCATCTTCAGTTCTTATAAAAAAACCCCAAACCCTCAAATCTTTCAGCATAATAACAAACATATAGATTTAGCGATGAATGTCTTAGTCTTTTTGTTAAATTTCAAGCATATTGGTGAGTTACATGCATGTGCTCTACTTGTTTATCTTTCCTGAAGAGGCACAAAATTTTACTGAGCTTCAGATGCCTTTAGAGCTGAATCCCTGTTTACAAGGAAGGAAATAATGGTGCAAGCTGTAAAACTTGTCCTGGATGATGTTGGAAAGGGGGCTTAACTTTGACTTTTAAAGAAAGCAAATGTGGGAAGTTGTGGCAGGCAGAAAGAGGAGAAAGGGCAATTCTTTTGCTTTCTGTTGGGCTATTTATTTTGACCTCTGCGTGTTTTGCTTTTTTCTTGAAACTGTGGTGGATTTCTATGGTGGTTGCTTTCCCCCTCTTCCCCCCCTCCCCCCATCATCCTGTTCCCTTCCCTTTCTGGTGTGGGTCTTCTCTGGTCCACGCTGGGAGGCAGTGTTTGGTTTCCTTACCTATGGCACAGTCTCCACATGGTGGTGGTGTAGGAGAGCTCTCCACATACATACAGTTGTGGTGTAACAGTTGAGTCCAATTCTCAGACTCTGAATTTCCATAAATAGCTCCTTCCCATTCACTGAGCTGTAGCATTGTTTTTAGTAGAGGGTTGGAAAAGTGGTACGTGCTGGCTGGGAGCTGCTGTGAATACTGGGGTATATATGTGCTTAGGAAGTCAGCTGTGTACTTTGATGCCTGACTTGGCTAATGGTTGCTTCAAGCAGCAGGATTGTAGCATATACAGGGAAGGGAAAAAAAAAAACCAAAACCAGGTGAATCTTAAGTTTGAGGGTAGCTTCTCTTCCAAAAGTACTTGCAGGGACAGGTTCTAAAAATTGCTGTTCCTGGCCTTTGGAATGAGAGATTGCTCTGGGAAGGGAGTTCCTGCAGAATTTAATCAAAGTCGGATATGCATATATATGTATGTAAGTGTGTATGTATATATATGCACACACATATGTGTATATATATATATATATATATATGAATCTATTATTGGAACTCTCAAGGAGGGAGAGAGAAGGTGGTAAATATTCAGTGACAGTTATTGGATCCCTGCAATGACTGAAAAACATAGTCCCTCAGAGGTGCTGCCATTACACAGAGATGGATAAATTTGTGTAGCACCCCTGATTCACAGCTGCATATTGTGAGCAGGCAGTGGATCAGGGGCTTTGATGCCCTCAGGTCAGAAAAATCTCATTTATCAAAATGTTTTGCAGTAATGGAAACTCTAAACTTCTTTGTGTGTCAAATTCTTGGCTTGTTAGTGGTGAATATAGCAGAAGGTGGGCAGCTTTCTGTTCTCCTTCCTTCACTTGATTTTTTTTTTCCTCAGCATGTTTACAGCACAATGCCAGTTGTCATGAGCATAACTGGGAGCTAGAAGTGTGTTTCAAACCTAGGCATGTCTGTAGTGCTAAACTCTTTTAAGTTACTAACTGAGGTGACATGTCCTTTCAGAGATGAAAAGGGGAGTTTTGTGTATGGAGGAGGCAACAAACGCAGTCAACCCTTACCTGGGTCCAAGGGGGCCGAGTCTCCCAATTCTTTTCTGGATCAGGAGAGTCGAAGGCGAAGGTTTACTATCGCTGATTCAGATCAGTTGCCTGGGTATCCTCTGGAAGTAAATATCCTACCAGCCAAGATGAGGGAAAAAACACAGTCCTATGGTGAGTTTATTCTTTTTTCATTATCACGGTTATGGTAAGTGCTTTGGTCAGTTTGAAGTGATTTGTGTTAGAAGACTGTTCATTAGACTTGATAGATGGGCCTTCTGTGCAAATTGTAAATGAAATTCCACATCTGAAATAATTTCACTTAAATACTGTTATCTCTGTAATGAGTGTCATTCAGCTGGGCTATGCTGCTACAGATGGCCATTTCCATGTGTTTTGGTTATAATAATCAAAGCTGTTCAATCTCAGCACATTGATCTCTTATATATAACCACTGGAAGTATCTTCAAATATTTTTTTCTGCAATTTTAACTCCTTATTGCTGCATCTCTCCCTTTGTTTAATTGTGGAAAGTATCAATTTAAAAAAATTGGTCTCCTTAACTTTTTGTAATTCCTCATAACCTTCTATGTTGCCCCTAGGAAAACCTCGTCCATTGTCAATGCCTGCTGATGGAAGCTGGATAGGAGCTGCAGAACGCTTCTCTAGGCCACGAGGAGTAGGGAGAAAAGGCAAGGTTTTATGTCTCCTCTCCTTTTCTTCCCTTCTTCTCCAAAATTTCCTTGGGGTGAACTGGGTGAAAGTGTTTAAATTAGGAACAGAGGATTATGGTTTGCATATTGGAGCTGATCTAAGGTGACAGTTGTTGGTTTTAGCAGGAATGCCAGATGGTAGTTGTGAAACTTGTGAGGCTATTCAGTGCTGGGACTTAAACTTTCTCCTGTCTTGGAATTCTTGTGAGCATTAAAAGTAAGCTAGAAAGACTAGGGCAGATCTGTACTTGTCTCTTTATAGACAAGTATTCTTCCTACACTCATCTCTTTCCCTTTCTTCTGCATTTAATATTGATTGTAAAACTACTTTTTTAGTAAGTCTTTCTGTTTGTTTGGCTCACTGTGGAAGCTGTTGTAGAAGCAAGCTTGTTCTCTAAATGTGAAATGTAGGGCCTTTTAGAAGTTACTTTTTACTATGACTGCTGTTAGAGAACAACATATTCTGCAGACATCACTGAATGGGAGAGAGAAGCTCATAACATTGGGTGTTAGCCTGGGCGGCGTTTTTTACTTGCCACACTGTCCTTCTCTTCCTGTCCCCTTTTGCATCTGAAAGGCTATTTGAGTGCTGTTGGAGGGGGAAATGAGGATGACTAGTTTATTCTTGAAATCAGTTATGAAAGCTGACGTGTAATTCTACATAAAATAGACGTTATTTTAATGCAAGTCCATAAGCAGTATAAACCTGGAGGGATTTTAGAAGCAAGCTAAGTAACAAGTCTAACAGAGCACTCATCAAGTGGCAGGGCTGGTTTTTGTGTGTTTATTTTTTTGTTTGCTTTTGTTTTATTGTTGCCTTTTTTTAATACTTGAAATGTACTTAAGTGTGTAGGCCTGTATGTAAGCTGTACTGAATCACATCCGAAGGCCTGCCTAGTCCAGTAGGATGCCTCTAGCAGCAGCTGCCACAATCAGCTGTCTAAGGAAGAGTAGAAACAGAGAGAACATGACAAATCACTGGTCAAAAAGTGCTTACATCTTCAACTTCAAAATTAATTTATTTTGTCCAGAATAATATTTGTAGCTTTTAAGTTTACTTATGAGTTACATTGAGAAAACTATGGATTTGACTGTGGTCTCTTCAGCATTTTGAATAACATGTTACAAGATTGTTTGTTAGGTCTCACCCATGATAATGATTTGCATGAAGGTAGTCTACACTAGTATTTTTAGTGTGTGTGAATCTGGCATTCAGTAGTCAAACAGTATCTTCTCTGTGTATTTATTTGTGGATTTATTTTCTTGTTATTTGTGTTACTTAAATATTAAAGATACAAAAAGCTATGAATCTATTGATAACTGCTTACGTTGAGGTGGGTTATGAAAAATAACCAAAACCTAGGTAATTTGAAGAGTAACCAGAATATTTTTTTTAATAAAAATAGAAAATGTTAATGGAGAGGTTTGAAGTCATCAGTAATTGGTTTTCCTCCTCCTGTTTTTACAGGTGAAGATGTCCTCTGCAGGTACTTCAGTAATGAAAGGATACCCCCAATCATTGAAGAAAACCCCTCCACGCAGCACCCCCTCTCCAGGCCTGTGTCTGACAAGCAGTTAGTGAGGGGAACGGATTATATTCGAGGCAGCAGGTGTTTTATGAATACAGACCTCCACAACAGTGCAACAATTCCTTTTCAAGAGGAAGGTGCTAAAAAATCATCAGTTACATCATCCACAAAACCCTCCTCTGGAGAACCCTCGCTGCTGGTCAGTTGGATCACAAGACTGAAATTGTTGACTCACTGACTATTGTCTGCAGCACTGTTACCAAGTGCCTTTGCTCGGCGGTCAGACTTCTCTACTTTTCGGCCTAACTGACGCATAGTGACTAATGCGGTATTCTTTTCCTGGAGAACCTTACATCTTTGCCTTTTTGTTTGTGATTTTTGACAGATCAGAGGGTGTCATAGTGCAAGGAGGGAAGAAAGATAAAGATCAAGTTCCTCTTCCTGGCCAAAAGCTGAGGGCATTTATTCCCATGGAAATAAGTAGAATTTCAGTGACACAGAGGCCACACATCACCTGGAATGTGCATAGTGACTCAGAGGAAAGAACTGTGTTACCGTGAAATCCAGTGGCACTTTAGTTGTCTGAATGCTCAGAGACTGGTGTGACTGGCTGGGTGTCAGAGTACGCAGAGCTCAGCATAAGTTGCGTTACTCGACTGACCAGGAAAGATAAGCAGAGACACAACAGTTTTGTGCAACTTAGTGATGCTGTTGCAAGTACTGGATGAGATCAACCTTGTGAGGAAGAAGTAATAGTGTTGCTATTCTTTCTCTGATATCCAGAGAATCTATGAAGGCTTAGGAAGAGAGTTCTCTTATTCAGAGATTTTAGGAAGTTGGACTAATTTAATTATAAATCAATCCAACCTGATATATAAACTATTTTATTGAAATCACAGTAGAAATAAAGAGCACTGAACAACTCCAGTGCTTGTCTGTAAAGGTATATGGTTTGCTACAACATGCCAAGGAAATGCATCTGTAGAGGTGGTAAAAGAATATATATTTTTTCCTTAATTGTTTAAGAATGATTTGCTGTTAACCAAAGTAACCTTTTAAAGACAGTCCTGTTGGACTTACGAGAACTTTTACAATGGTTCAGTTTTTGAATGATGTGTTGTTTTTATGAAAAATATGTGCTATCATACACTACAATTGTAAGACATTTGCTATTTTCTATATAGCTCAAATCTTTACACCTCCAGAATTTTAAAGTAGCATTGGGTATTTTGGGAGGAAAATAAAACTTGTTTAAGAAAAGAGGAGGATATTAAAGAGGTATTGTTCAAAACAGAATGTACATAAGATTGCTAGTATGCAAACTTAAAAAAAGTTTAAAGTAATTTAAGTGTTAAATATAGTTGTATATATTTTTTACACTTACACAGATACTGTTTGTTCCTTGTTCCTGTATTGCAGTACTGGGCACAGCTTAGTCAAATGAAAAGTTTTTGTATTCCCTGCTAATTATGAGACTAACTATTTTTGTAGATAATACATTGCCAACAGCCTTTGCTCCTTTGGTCTTGCTGAAAAGAAGGATTTATATTTAATAATTGGTGGGTAAAGAGGGGAGTTAAATACTAGTTTTCACTCTGAACTGGGGCAGGAGTCACATGTGATAACACGAGTGTTAAAAACACTATAATTCTGGCTGTGAACATGTGACCGTTCTGTTGCAACAAGCTTGTGAAGTTGTGCTGCAGCCCCGCAGAGAGAGACACGGTGTTTCAGTTGTCAATTAATTACATTTGACTGTGAGTGGTGGTTTAGGTGGGGGCTGGTTTGGGCCTTTCTGATCAAAGCAGATTATAGTATGTCTGTCTTGTGCCACTCTTCTCCACTGCCCGAGATGGCAGCCCATACTAGAGGTGTGACCAAACACTGCTGTGGTGCAGTTGAACCCTAGAACAGTTTGTTTTTGCCTCCAAGAGGGCTGAAACTGCCATGATGTGGACACTGGGGTTGTAGTATATAGTCCAACCTCAAAGTGAATGGAACTGTTTTAAAGTAAATCACAGTTGCTGGACTAGATCAAAGATGTTGTCTAAACAAGACTTTTAAAATGGAAATTTTGCACGTCTTCAATGTCTTCTTTTCTATAGTTTAAGAGTGCTCTATAGTTTAGGGGTAAAAAAAAGCCCCACAGATCTAGGAGTAAATCAGTTTGAGTACAACCAAAATACCTTTCTGACATAGCCTGAGAAAAATATAGGTAAGAAGTTAGAAACTGCTATTATGCAGAAACTTGGCTCATCTCTTGATATCGAAGGTACATGTATCCGTTCTGTCAAAAACTATGCCTAGGCTGACTTCCCTAATGAGTACAACATACGTATCCAGATATCCTGCCATGGTACAGCACTCCACAGTACTCTGAATACTCTGTCACAGTGGCAGAACAACACAGTTAAATGGAAAAGATCATAAACCCCACAAAAATTAAAAAGTATTTAGTGCTCTTGCATATATGTATAGTGAGGAACGTACACTTCAGAAATAGTGAACAGGCTTCTGTTTTAGTCTGTAGAGTATTTGCAAGCCAATACCTTGAGTGTTCCCTTACATAACCATTGCAAGAAAATACTATTTTAGATAGTAATGTGCAAGAGGAAATGAGACATCAATAAGAATGCTAATGGCTTGTAGAGACAGAGTTCAGGGCAATTCTTCAAGCAGTGTGTTTCCTCTATTATTGTGGATAATTAAATTAATCAGTGTTTGAATTCTGGATGGCCAAAAGAGGTGGACAGACTACTGTATTATACTAATTTCATGCTAATCAATTAACTGATAACCTTTTCTTACTCATGAGCAGGGCTTGTTTTAAAAACAACATATTCCATAAGCGGGGTGCTCATTGAACAGGGAAGAAAAATTTAAAATCTGAAACTTAGCCAAATGAGGAAACAGATGGTAAAGACTAGTTTTATAGTTGGAGAGGATAAAGAATTTTCTTCTTGCATATTTTTTTTGTCCAAATCTTATGACTCGTTTTATTACACTGCCAGCAGACAGCCTTCTCAAACTGCAGCCACATCCTGAAAAGACCAAGTTAACCCCTCATTGGGCTTTAAATTAGACTTTGAGCTCAAACCTCTTTTTACTTCCCTGGGAGGTTTTACTTCCCTAGGAGTTTTTCTGCATTCATCAGGCAATTTGGGGAATATCCTACACGTGATGGACAGCAGGGCTCTTGTGTGCATGCATATTCAGAAATATCTTTACCAGCAGGATTGGTATCTTGGAGGAAGATGTTTGTTGTTTGTGTTGCTTGTGTTTTCTTGTGCTTAAATAAGTACTTCTTCTCCCAGCCTCCACCGTACATCCTAGTGCACCACCTCAAAGTGTGAGTTAGAAATACTCATGTACAATTGGAAAGAAGTGTTGGGTCCTTTGGAGTAACCTGATTTTGTCCTGCTGTAGAGCTGTATCTTCTTTCTTCTCTGTAGCCTGAGTTTTTCTTCACACATGCTGTGGTGATGGAGCACGTGCTCTTTGAGGCAATCACATATGAATGCTTTTGTTGCCTTGCAGGATGTGAAGTTTTTGTAATGGACAAGAGCTCTCAAGAAAGCCTATGACTTACACTAAAATGTAGAAAGAGCACTCCAGAAAGACTAAGCTTGTAGAACGAAGAAAGAGGGGCCGGGCTAAGCTACATGTGTGGGTCGTCTGTGTTGTGTTTCAGCTACATGGCAGTAACTCTGCAGAGAAAGCAAGCCACACAAGTGCAGCACACACGTGCTTCTACTGCTACATTTGTATGATGCTAGAATATGAAACAAAGGCAGTCATTCAAAGTAGTTGTATATAGTTCCACACATGGTACTTGAGCTGTAATATGTTTAACAAAGCAGTCAAGAGCTGCTGCCAGTATGCAATTTCTCCAAATTCTGCTGCCCATGCTGCTGCTGCATCAGTTTAAAATAGTATGTCCTCTTTATCCTGTTGCTTGCACAATGCAGACCCAGCTCTCTGGCAAGTCCCTAAACATCAGTTTTGTCTTCTTTTGTGATAGTAACTGCTGGTGAGATTGTGTCATTCCCATGGGGCCTCATCCAGTGATCCAAAAGCTTAGTTTGGGTTCCTCTGGACTTAGTCCAAAAGTGGAAGGTCAAATTTAAAAACAGTATTACTGAACCAGTATTACTTAGAGTTGAGATTTCTTTTTTATGCATACTAAATATGAAACAGGGAGGAGCTGTCTGTTGCACATACTTTATCAGAAGGAGGAAAAATGAGGATTACATATTCAGTGGTGGAAAAAACTCCAGATCTTTGGGTGTCCTCCAGTTGTTGCCAGTGTGAGATATGTGTTTGTTTTAGCGTGACATCAAATAGATGTCAACATTTCTTTTAAAACCTCCATGTGTGGCCACTGCAGTTGTTCTGGATGATGGAAGCCACTGACTTTCTCCCTTAAGTGGTTATGGAGTTAACCCAATATATTTTTTGGGGGGAGGACAAAGATACCTTTTCTTAGGCAAATACATGATTGATTACCTGGATTTGGAGACTGAGTAATTAAGTATAAAACAAGTGCCACAGAGTGCTGATTTATTGGGAGAATCCTTGGGGTCAGTTTGTTCCCTGGGCTCTGGTGAGGATGAACATTGACAATGCACTTATGTATAGTGGCAGTTTGGCATCTAGGAAGCTGCCAAAGAATCAGAGGACAGCCCAGTCCAATTTACTGTGCCATCTTCAGCAAAGTGGATTAGCTGTTTGGACTTCTTTGTTTTTGATTTTTTGGTTGGTTGCTTGTTTCCTTTCCCCTGTCTCCATAAGTGTAGTTCTCCTTCAGTAAAAATGGGCCAAAGTAGGAACTGTTGAAATGCACCTGTTGAAAAGATCCTGATGAAGCAGTGGGCTGTGCTTGCTGGTGGGGCCCAGCTGCCATGTGTTTAGATGTGCTCTGGGAATGCCTTTCCAGGTAATGAGCCTCAGACCTTGTGACCTTTGCTTAGAGACTTTTTTGTTCAAGGCAATATTTACTGGGAGGCATAGAAAATGCCACAGTCTAAACTGATATATGTACTTAATGTTTTTTTTTCACCCAAGTAATCACGTGTCTCAGTGCTACCTGATAATGTGTTTTCCTCTTCCATCCCCCATTCGCTGTTTTTAATACAAATGTTTCTTAGGAAATCCTCCTGTATTTCCAGGGTAAATGTTAATAATTCCAAGTAAGTCACAAATGGGCCTTAATATTTTAAACTGTAAAAAAACCCACCCAAAACCCAAACAAATGAAACCTCAAAACCAAAACACATCAAGAAACACTTTTTCTACCTTGTGAATAATAATAAATAATACTTTATGAATAATAATGAAACTAAGGATTTTCACCCAGGTGAAAGATCAGCCAAACTTTAGTGGCTGCATCTTTTGTGATTTTTTTGATTTTATGACATGATAGTAGGAAGTGAGGGCTGTAGTTCAGGTATTGTAGATTCTTGCAGAGCAACTGTGGTGTTTAAATGTATTCCCACAGAACTTGACCAAAGGCTTTCTTAGGTGTAGTGCAGCTTTTCTTAAGACTGTCTTCCCCAAGCCCACTGAATGTCCCACTGAATTTGCAGAAGTCTTAATATCATCTGGCATAGTTCTTGACCATTTTTTTCTGGTGGGAAGTTGGTATAAGTCGCTAGAAATGAGTAGGATGAGGACAAAATACATGATGTCCAAAATTAATTATTTCCCTTTCCGTATGTCCTTCTTCCTCTTTGACATTCTCCTCCTTACCCTAAGGCCAAGGGACTTTCCAGGAATTTATTGCACAAACAAACAGCTATAAATCCTTTTAATATTTATAGCATAATCTAGTTTGTTTTGATGTCTGAGATAGTTTTGGCCAGAGCTTTCCAGTAAAAATAGCACTGTGCACAAGACAGTATTTCCAAGCTCTTTATTCTTTTAAG